ATCACTTCCTCACATGCTCTCTTACCCTCCTTGCATATCTATTATCTCCTTCTCAAATGAATCCTCTTAGTAATTCTCAAAGATTCTATACTATTAAAAAGTCTATTATTTCTCAGAGAACTAGTAGCCTATTTAATAAGTAGGATAATTTTAGATATAACATAATTATTAACAAATATAAAAATTCTCAAATTAGGACCCAGCAGCGTGGCCTAGCGGCTAAAGTCCTCGCCTTGAACGTGCCAGGATCCCATATGGATGCTGGTTCTAATCCCGGCAGCTCCACTTCCCATCCAGCTCCCTGCTTGTGGCCTGGGAAAGCAGTCAAGCACAGCCCAAAGCTTTGGGACCCTGCACCCATGTGGGAGACCTGGAGGAAGTTCCTGGCTCCTGGCTTCGGATAGGCATAGCACCAGCCGTTGCAGTCACTTGGGGAGTAAACCATCAGATGGAAGATCTTCCTCTCTGTCTCTCCTGCTCTCCATATATCTGACTTTGCAATAAAATAAATAAATCTTTAAAAAAAATTCTCAAATTAAAAATAAATATCATATAATTCAAATGTATTCAAATATAAGTCCCAAACAGAAATACTGAGATTAAAGATTACTGAATTTTGTTCATTTTTTATAATGAAATTTCTAACAGTTTGAATAAACATACAGAGCCAACCAATTCCCACAATCCCCCACATTCAAAATTATTCTGAATTTTAGCAGGTCAGAAAAATTTCTGCAAGTGATATTGAGAAAAAAGTAATAACATCACATTCACTGAATAGATTAACAAAACTCAACAAGAGGGAAGAGATGCATTTTAAAAAGAAAAGAAATAATTAGCTTTTACATACACTACAGTGATTTTTATATTAAAGGTATATTTATTAAAGAATTGGACAAACCTACTTTCACAGAGTATGTTGAAATGACTTAACATTCCTATGGAAACACAATGTGGAAATCATTGCATTATTTTTAAGAAAGAATACTTGCTGAGTGAAAAAAGTCTCAGTACCTGACAGGCTTAGCCTACAAATGGTATCTGCTACATATTGCTGAATCACTACTCATTTGGATGTTTGGTTTCTACCAAAAGTGTGCTATCAAATTCAGTTGTCTGGATTGTTAAAATACATATTTAAATTATAAAGATTTTTAAAATACGTTAACATATTTAAATATGTTAAGATATACATTTTAACTTACTATGAAAGAGCATATTGTCATAGAGAAAACAAAGCTCCATAAAGCAAAAAAAAAAAAATAATAATAATTGACATGTAACATTGGTTTGTTTTAAATACTACTTCATGTTACTTTCTATTAATTTTCCATGTATATACAGAGAACAAATTTCATATATATCTCCAATATACATACTTAAAAGTATATTTCTCACCCTATGCTCAATCTGAAGTTGTTATTGAAGTATTATTTTTCAGTGAAGCCTTTCTTGATAATATTATTTAAACTGAATATTCTTTTCTCTAATTTTTCTCACAGCATCTAGAAACACATGGCTCACCTTTTTCCTCCTTCCTTCATTTTACCCCTCTCTCCCTGAACACCTCCCCTCAACCCCAACACCTAACTTTTTTCTTCCTTCCTCTTTCATCTTTCAGGTTCAGCCTATCTCTTCAGTTATTTCTTGTTAGCATTCATTTATTTTTACTGGAAACTCAGATTTCCACAAAGAAGAAGAGAGAGAAAGATCTTCCATCCTCTGCTTCACTCCCCAGGTGACCACAAGGACAATAGCCAGAGCTGAGTCGATCCAAAGTCAGGAGTCAAAAACTTCTTCAGGGTCTTCCATGTGGACACAGCGTCCCAAGGTTTTGGGCTGTCCTCAACTGCTTTCCCAGGCCACAAGCAGAGAGCTGGATGGGAAGTGGAATAGCCAGGACACAAACTGACATCCGCATGCAATCTGGGTGTATGCAATCTGAGGATTTAGCTTTGATCATAGGTTCAATGACACCAAAATATATTCCTATTTTATCCGTTGCTATATCGTAAGAACTTGCAATAGTACTTAGTACATGCAGTTCTCAGCAAATATGTGTTAGAGATTGGATGAACGAATCCAACATTGCTAACAAAAACTTTAAAATTTTACAAAATAATCAACTACTTTAAAAATTTTTCCTATGTTTTTATTAAGGTTTATGTATCAAGATGAACTACCTGCAATTTTCTTTGTATTTAATGTATTTTAAAATCTCCGTTATAACTCTTCATTGATGAATATCCCTGCTGCTCAGTTTTAAGTCATACCATTAATTATTTTCTTAGTGTTATCCCAAAAATAGACTCGTGGGACCAGATTGCACACCTATTTGAAACACTGTGCCAATCTGCCCCTGAAAAGCACTGGGATCATTCTATATTTCACTCTTGCTATATGCCAGCTCCCAGTTTCCCACACTATCTTTCCCTGCCTGACGAAATGCCCAGTGACAGGTCAGTTGAGAGAGAAAGCAATGCTCAACTATTTTTCCACTTCCAATCATCTCCCTTCATCTGAGCTGGATCAATTACAAAATCATTTACAAATTTCTGGCTTATAACTCGGTATAATAACAGGAGACTTCTTTGTAATGCGACACATTTCAATTAAGAATTTCTTCATTAATGATTCAATATGCTCTTATTGGTTACACAACATTAATGGTATGTTGTTACAAGTACATTACTTCTCGTTTTAGACAAATGAAAATGAGAGGGGCCTGGCGCGATGGCGCAGTGGTTAAGGACCTCGCCTTGCACGTGCTGGAATCCCATATGGGCGCCAGTTCTAATCCCGGCAGCCCTGCTTCCCATCCAGCTCCTGCCTGTGGCCCAGGAAAGCAGTCGAGGACGGCCCAAAGCTTTGGGACCCTGCACCCACATGATTTATTAAAAAACAAGACTTACCATATTATGTGTTCCTAGAAAAAGTTAAATGCTTTTAAGGATTATAAAAAAGAAATGAGATATTGTCAAGTTATATGGAAGCCTTCAAAAAGTTAAAATGAAATTAAACAATAATGTCGATTTTTTCATAAATTCCTTGAAATTCTCTCATTTGTATTAAAAACAATGAATTCTTTGACATATTAATCAACATATACATCTATCCTGAATAAAATATATTAAACTTACAAATGTATTTAGAGAGTTGATAATATCACAATCAAATATCATTTCCTTGATTCATTAATATAACAGAATTTGAACATCTGGAAGTTAAATAGCTAAAATAAAGCATGAAGATTAATTGATTTTGCCCCAGAAATCAATTAAATTTATGTTAGAACCATATTTTGGACTATATACCTGAAGACAGATGATTAAATTTAAAAAGAAAGGAAAAATCTATAATTATTATATCTACACATGTCAGAGGAAATAAAATTTCATACACCTATCAGATAACAGCTTCGGAATCTGTATGGATTTTTCTAATATTTTGATTATAGAGGCATGTAGGCTTTGATTATCATTATTTTGAAGTATAGGCCACTTGCAGATGCAGGATGACAAATCTGTTGCATTACTGTGCTAAACAACGTGATATGGTCTTCTTATTCAACAGACTGGCTATTCTATGGCTGCACAACATCTCTGACACTCACCATGTCTTTGACTTCCCAATAATCACTGCCTTCATAATGAAAACATTCCCTTCACCTCTCAGTCTTTCAGAAGCTAGTTTTGCATTAAGTACATAGCACACTGTTAAAACACATTATACTTCTAAGGCATGTCAGATGTTATGAAGCTGACACAAAATGCAGTCTTATCAATCATTTGTAGAAACTAACAAATAGTTATTGAATGCATTTGCCTTTGGATAAGTACTAAAATAATGAAAACAGTACAGATCCTGGAACTTAATGAAACTTTTATCATGTCTCCCATCCATAAGAAATCTCACACAGAGTCAAGGTAGGAAGAAAACTTCAGGAACCACAAAACTGCATGTAATCCACTTCAAAAGGCTATCACATGTGTATTTATTTGTTATTTTATTGATTGTGCCAGGTGAAGGCAACAGTACGACATTTCCCTCTACCACTTCTGGGTGACCACATACTGAGTGTGACCAAACACACACTAGAGAATTTGGAACTCTACTTCGTAACAAGCAAAAGCCTATCATTTCAACAGTTTTGTAGCAACTGAAGAGGAGGAAGAAAGTAGTTAATTCAACATAAAAAGGACATTCTAACTGGCAACATGGCTCTCTGAAAAGATAGTAAAAGCAAATCCTCTGCTTTGCTTCTCTTGTTTTGTTTTGCTTTGGTGTTATTGGATAGATTGCATTCTCCTGCTTGGAATTTGCATTAACAATTCTGGAATAAAATTACTTAATTCCCTTTCATTTTTTCCTATTTATTTACATAAAAATCCAGTATCCCAATTTGGTAATTTAGTGATAATACATTTGTAAGTAACTGTTGAAAAATCTTGTTCCTGTTCTTTAATTGTCCTGTTTAGTATAACTTACTGACTTATTTTCATTATCAGTAAAAGTTGCTGCACTCATTTTTAGATCATGCATGTTATTATTGACAGCTGTACAAAGCAAAAGTAAAAAATTAAATTGTTGAAAATAATCATCAAATATTTATATTTTACAGAGTTTTTCTTGAACTTGACAAAGATCAAAGTAACCCCATGGTATGTGTCTTGTACACATATAGGGTATCTTTATCAAATCAGAGCAAAGTACCTTTCTCTAAAAAGTTTTAGCCTATTTGGCTTTTTATCAATAAAGCATCATGAGCTTCAGTAAAATTGGTAAATTATCTTTGATAAAATTCTTTAAAAAGGCTCCCAAATAATATTTCAAAAAAAAGCTCAAAAGTCTTGCTGAATGAAGAGATTGGTGCTTAATTTTTGTCATGTGCATTTAAAAAAGGAATGGTAAATACAAACATATGCATTTAATTATCCATATTAAGATGGAAATCTTAGATTTCCCTCATGGCTTAAAAGGACTTTTTGAACTTGACTCACCTGGTCCCTCAGGCATTTTTACTCTACACCGGGGAGCTGCACTAAGAAAGCAAGCATGTCTTCTTTCAGCCATGAGACTTCGAGGTGGCATGTATTTATGTTTCACTTGGGACCTCTCATAGGATTTTTGAACATCATAGCTGCCAGGTGCTGGAATCACCTGGAAAACATGTTAATGATTGAGCATAAATATCTAATCTATTGAAAAAAAAGTCAAGATGTCAAATAGATGATCACACTAAGCAATGGTGTAGGGAGAAAAATAGAAAAAGTCATTTAATTAAACATTAAAATTAGAAATTTGAACAAAGATCCCTAAGTCAATGTTCTTGTAATAAAACCACAAATTCACTTGTTAAAAATGAAGATAATGTAAACAGAATGATGAAATGTGACCATATTCTTTTTTAAAAAGAATCTTTGTGATATAAACCAAATTCTCCTTTTCAAATTTAATAATGAAAATCAAATTTCAGGCATGGGTAAAATCAATACTTATTTGTTTTCATAAGCAGCAATATCACTCCTGCTTTACTGTTTTACACAAGCATAGTTCTTCTGTAACATGAGACTGCTTATTTCATTTTTCATAAGTCCCAATTAACTTAAAAGGCTTCCCCTTTCATCATTTATGGCTCTTTATATGACCTGCACTTATATTAGCATTTTTAATCAACATGATCTAACATCGATGTTAATAAGTACGATTGAAATTCTAACCTAAATTAAATATAAGTATCATGTATTTGTTGCACAATTAATGTCTTCCATTAGCAAATTATCTTAATGAAAACTTTTAAAAACCAATTTTCTTTAAATTATTTTAAATAACATATCCTTTTGAATGGATTTAAACACACTATGCAGAAAGAACAAAGCATTAAGGTTTAGAAATTTCTTAATATACAATACGGTGCTATAGCTAAGAGTGTAAACTATGGTGCTGGATTATCTGGGTTCAAAATATCTGATATTTACTAGCTATATGACAAGCAATCCACTCAACTTCCATGAGCCTCAGTTTTCTCCTTAATGTGATGAAACAGTATTTCTGCTACAAAATTATGCAGAAAAATGAAATGAGCTAAAACACTTAGATTGGCATATAATTCCAAAGAAGGAAATGGTGTTTAATATTCTAGAAGACCTAATTAGTCAACAATAAAAAGAGAGATGATCAATCAGGCCCGGCACAATGATTCAATTAACTCATCTTCCACCTCCAAGTGTCAGGATTTCATATGGGCACCTGTTTGTGCCCCAGCTGCTCCACTTCCCATCTGGATCCCTGCTTAAGCTCTGGAAAAATAGTGGAGGGTGGCTTAAGTCCTTGAAATCCTATTCCACTGCTGTAGACCCCCCCCCAAAAAAATACCTGGCTCCTGGCTTCGAATTGGCTAATCTCTAGTCATTGTGGCCACATGGGGAGTAAACCAGTGCATGGAAGCTCTTTCTCTGTACCCTTCTCTCTGTAAATCTGCATTTTCAATAAAAAGATAATTTTTTAACTACAAGCAATAAAATTTTGAATAATAGGGAATTATTTCTGAGTTTCAAGGAAGACAGATAAATCTGAATCTTTAGAAGGCATACTTTTGTCATTCTAGATGTAATTATATGTTATAAAATACTTTCTCTTGATACTTTCGTCAATATTATTCACCTCAAGTATATATCAAAAACATTTTCTTCTATTTCTAAAGAAACCCTGCACCCACATGGGAAACCTGGAAGAGGCTATGGGCTCCTGGCCTCAAATGGGCTCAGCTCCGGCTGTCGCAGCTACTTGGGGAGTGAATCAACAGAAAAAGATCTTCCTCTCTGCCTCTCCTCCTCTGACTTTCTGATAATAAAAATAAACAAATCTTTTTAAAAAGAATTTTTTACAATTTTTACTGTGCCTCATATAAATTTTAGTTTTGACTGCTTTCCCAGGCCACAAGCAGAGCTCAAATGGGAAGCAGGCCACCTGGATTAGAACCGGCTTCCTTACAGGATCCTGTAAAGACAATGACTTTAGCCTCTTGGCTACCACACCAGGCCTACAATTTTTTTCTTAACAATCCGTCTGGTGTTGCTATCTATCCCTTTTTCTAAGACCTATCCCAACATGGGATTGAGGGTTTTAATGCCTCTAGTTAAGCCACAGTCTGCTTCACTGCCAGAATCCTTATTGGGATGCTGGTTTGAACCACAGCTGCTACAACTCCCTACCAATGTGTCTAGTGAGTCAGCATAAGATAGCCCAAGCACATGGCCTCTGCTTCGCACAGAAGAGACACAGATTAAGTTCCTGGTTCTTGACATGGTTTGACCTAAACTTGGTCACTGTGGCTATTTGGTGAAGTGAACCATGAGATGGAAAAAAATTTCTCTCTTATCTCTCCTTCCCACCATCCCTACCTCGCTTTCTAGAACTGTATTTCAAATAAATAAGTACATAATACTCTTTTTAAAAAAAAGACGCTTTGAAAGCAAGACAAAAAATTATATCAGTGGTCATTTTTTTCAGCACTAATTTGTTAATACCTGGGAAAGTTCATCAAACTGGCTATCTTAATTCTAGTCCATAGATGGGCTCTCCAACTTTAAATGGTTCTACCCTTATATGTAATGAATACTTCCTATAACGTATCTCTGCATCTCTGCAATTTGATGACTTATATTCTTGACTTCCTGTACTCATCTCTGATTTTATCTCACCAAAAGATTAATATTTTAACAAAGTATTCTAGATTGATGATTGGTAAAACCAATTTGAAACCTTGTATACTAGCAATACCTTATGTATTCCTTCCACATGCTACCTAAAATAAGTTTAACTTCATGTTGTGGGGTCTATATACAACATCACCAAATCTCTATTAGTGATCCATTTCATATCACAAGTAATAGGAGCAGTTGGGGGTTGATACAGTAGAACTTTTCCCCCTTATGTAGCAAGAATCACATTAGTGAACAAAAATCCCTACATATACAAAATCTGAGGTCGAAACACAAGGGCTAAAAAGAAGTATTTTTTATCTTCTTGGTCTGATTTTACTTAGCTAGGATACAAAACAACATTTTAGATGCACGGTACCTAAAATATTCTTGGGAGAGGAACATCACTGCTAGCAGTCAATCCCAGAGACAACAGGAATCTAAGCTGAAAGATGCCATCTTATACTAAAGGAAAAAGCCATAAAGTGATCATCATCTAAAAGGATATATATCAATTCAAAAGAAAAGTAAATACATGGTGTCCTGTCTTCCTCATCTGGAAAGTTATGACCTTATCTTAAAGTGACCTAAGATTTATACAGTCAAAAGATTAATAGACATCAAATGATTCAAATGGTGTCTGACACATAAAGACATCTAGTGTTTTAGTTCATGATTATCATCATAATCTTTAGTATTTTTTATCATTTTGGGGGGTTAAGACTACATGAAACCGTAAGTGATATTTCCATGCCTAAGGAAAGATACTAACTGAATCTTCAACAGGAAACCCTAGAACTTTAACATACAAACACACACAAACATACTCTGGAACCACAGGAAGACGTGTGTACCCTTGTATACTATGCATCAAAACTGGAAACAATGGTCTCATCCACTTTCTCCGATTCCTCAACCCTTCCAATCCTAATCAGTGGTACACACAGACATGCATCATTATCAAATTGTAGACATAATCAAAAATAATTTTTCTTTTTTTAGATTTATTTTATTGTTTAACTGGAAAGGCAGATATTGATAGAGGAGAGAAAGAGGGAAAGATCTGCTGTCTTCTGGTTCACTCCTTAAGTGGTCCCCATGGCTGGAGCTAAGCCAATCCAAAGCCAGGAGCTAGGAGCCAGGAGCTTCTTCCAGGTCTCCCATGCAGGTGCAGGATCCCAAGGTTTTGAGCCATCCTCTTCTGCTTCCCCAGCCCACAAGCAGGGAGCTAGATGCGAAGTGGAGCAGCCAGGACATGAACTGATGCCCATAGGGGAGCCCAGCACATACAAGGCAAGGATTCAGCCACTATGCTATCATGTCAGGCCCATCAAAAATAAAATTTTTTTAATGAAAAAAAAACCACTCTGTTACACTTGAGTATACTGAATTACACTCACTGAATAAAATTTAAACATTATAAAGTTATACTCAAACTTAAAAAGATGCATACACCCATGCAGCAAATTTTGATGATATTTACAAACCCTGGTGTTTACTAATTCTACACTAAGTAAAAGTAAATTTTAATTCCAATAAGCTTATACATACTTCAAAATATATGATAACAAGTACAGTAAAATATGTTAATTTTGCTATAAAAATTAAAAAATAAAGGGATCAGTATTTTGGCTCACTGGGTTGAACCATTTTTTGCAACCCAGCATCCCATATCAATACAATACACAGTGGTCAATTCTATTAATTTAAATATATAAAAGATAAAAACAAAGTAGGTTTATCATTATGTTTTAATATTCATTTCCTCTTTGCATTTTGCCAATATTTGCTTTACATTTATATGGAGATGTACATGCAAATTGCAAATGATTATATTGGCCTATGAATCTAACCTTTCAGCAAACAGTGAGTGATAGCGAATATTTCTAATCTGTTTTTTATCTTATACTTATTTTATCTGAAATCAAAATAGCTATTCCCTGATTTACACCAATGAGTAAATTTTGGCTAATCACGTTACATTCTGTCAGCTGCCAAAAATGGTAAACTTTAAAATTACAGTTTTAAATATCTCAGATACCTATAGAACAAAGTTCTGATGTAAGCATATATGAATTTCAAAGACAGGAAGAACCATTCCTGTGTGAGTTAATAATGCAAAATGTTTTCTTTACTGCAGGCATTTGTTATATTTCAGAAAGAACTTAAGTTGAGATTTCTAACAGCCTATATTCTTTTTTTTTCAGATTTATTTTTATTATTTTTTTATTGGAAAGGCGGATATACAGAGAGGAGAGATAGAGAGGAAGATCTTCCGTCCGATGATTCACTCCCCAAGTCAGCGCAACAGCCAAAACTATGCCGATCCGAAGCCAGGAGCCTCTTCCAAGTCTCCCACACGGGTGCAGGGTCCCAAAGCCTTGGGCCGTCCTTGACTGCTTTCCTGGGCCACAGGCAGGGAGCTGGAAGGGAAGTGGGGCTGCTGGGATAGAACCA